TCTCTCTCTCTCTCTCTCTCTCTCTCTCTCTCTCTCTCTCTCTCTCTCTCTCTCTCTCTGTTTCTCGCTCTCTCATTTATCAATGTTTATTGTATATTGCAAATTAATTGATAATATTTATAATTTTTCCCTATTTTCTTTTAATGGAATGGCCAAAAACACCCACACACACAAACCAAATCAAAAAAAAAAAAAATGACCCACCCGTGATATATGCATATACATGTGCGTTTGTGTTTGTGAATACAGTTATGTGACCATGGGTATAGATTTAGGTAATCTCGCAGCACTGAGAACATTTAGGGTATTGCGAGCTCTTAAAACCGTAGCCATTGTTCCAGGTAAGCTATAGGTTTCTCATGCGATCCTCAAAATTAAAACATTTTCTTGAGAAGAAATTCTTTACTACGTCATTGTTTACATTTAAAAAACAAAAAAATATTTTGTCTTTTTTTTTTTATATTTTTTTTACTTTTATCATTTTTAATACTTAAATCAAAGGTTTGAAGACGATTGTCGGTGCTGTAATAGAGTCGGTGAAAAATTTACGCGATGTGATAATCTTGACCATGTTCTCGTTATCAGTGTTCGCATTAATGGGATTGCAGATCTATATGGGTGTTTTGACGCAAAAATGCATTAAAAAATTCCCATTAGATGGCAGTTGGGGTAATCTCACCGACGAAAATTGGGATTTTCATAATAAAAATAAATCGAATTGGTATTCAGAAGATGGCGGATTAACATTTCCACTTTGCGGCAATATCTCGGGAGCTGGGTAATAATTAAAAACAAAAACTTTACAAAAATTAAAAAAAAAAAAAAAGAAATACAAAGAGGATACGTTATCGATGGATATATGGTGGATGTGAAATCTATAAATTTATTATCTTATATCTTCCGTTTAGGCAATGCGATGACGATTATGTGTGCCTTCAGGGTTTCGGGCCGAATCCTAATTACGGCTATACCAGTTTTGATTCATTTGGTTGGGCTTTCTTGTCAGCCTTTCGTCTAATGACGCAGGACTTTTGGGAGGATTTGTATCAATTGGTGTTACGAGCAGCTGGCCCATGGCATATGCTGTTCTTTATAGTCATCATCTTCCTAGGTTCATTCTATCTTGTGAATTTGATTTTGGCCATTGTTGCCATGTCATATGACGAATTGCAAAAGAAGGCCGAAGAAGAGGAGGCTGCCGAAGAGGAAGCGATACGAGTAAGTCTATTGTTTACATTCTACATAAAGGCGCGCGCCTCGCCTCGCAAATATTTTCAATTTCAATTTCACTTTCCCGAAACGGAGTCAGCGGTGTCTGGATACCGCCTGATCACCGTACCCGTAACGAAATTCAAATTGAAAATGTTTCGAATCTAATTAATTAATTGAGTTATGCAAAATTTAACAAAATTTCAAAAAAGAAAAAAAAAAAAAAATTTCAAAAAAAAAACAGTTTTAATTGCAACTATGTGCGTTTAATGTTCAAATTTAATTTGTCTGAATTTTCATAAAGAGTGTAATTTTCTAATTTTGTTCTAATTTTATAACGTTCTTTACTGCTACGAGAGAAAAAAAAAAATAAAACTTTTTAGCAAAGATGAAAGAAAATATCTTTTACAGTATTTTGGATAATTCGATATAATTTTTTAAGTTTCTCTATTTTTTTTTTTTTAAGCTATTGCAACGAATTTAATTACATTTTTTTCTTTTTTAATGTTAATTTTAAAGTAAACAATATTTTTTTGGGAGAGAAGAAACGTAAAAAAAAAACATGGAATGGATTTGTATGAGATTTGAGAGAGCAAGTCAATGCCCGCCGTCTCTCTGTCTCTCTCTCTCTCTCTCTCTCTTTCTCTCTCTCTCTCTCTCACTCTCGCTCTGTATGTGTCTTAAGTCTATAATTTGTTTGTTGGCTTTAAATATGATTTCAAGCGTATGATAAGCTCGTTTCGCTTTGGAAGTTGTTATATTCATGTTATTTTTAGTGTGAACGTGATGTACGATTGACAGATGATAGATGATGATTACTAATCAAATCCCACCGGGACTTTTCCATAAATTTCTAAATATTTAATTATAGGAGGCAGAAGAAGCGGCTGCAGCGAAAGCAGCCAAACTGGAGGAGCGTGCTAACGCTGCCGCCCAAGCAGCGCAAGACGAAGCTGATGCCGCTGAAGCCGCTTTGCATCCAGAGATGGCTAAGAGTCCCACCTATTCGTGTATTAGCTATGAACTTTTTGTAGGCGGCGAGAAGGGTAACGATGACAACAATAAGGAGAAGATGTCCATACGCAGCGTCGAAGTGGAGTCGGAGTCGGTGAGCGTTATACAAAGACAACCAGCACCTACCACAGCACCCGCTACTAAAGTTCGTAAAGTAAGCACGGTAAGTATAACGCAGCTGGCTAATGTGCTTTCAGAACAGTTTTCATTACGTTCGTCTTTTCTCTGTAATTTTTCATTTTATTTTCTTATTTCATTATTTTTTTTTATTTGTTTTTGTTATTGTTGTTGTCGTTGTTTTCCTGTTTTGGAGAATTAATTGAAATTTCAAAGCAAATGAATCGCGGTTATGTTCGTTTTCATTTCGACTGATTGATTTTTTATTTTTTCCTCTTTTTTTTTGAAAGGAAAATTATTATAATCTTTGACGCATAGATTCAGAAAAAAAAAAATTCAAAATTAGAATACATTCTCACAGAAGTCACACAATTGTTGTAATGTTTACAGCACTTTTACAACACTTTCTACCCTCTACGGTTTAGAAAAATTTACGGAAATATTTATCATTATACTTAATAAATATATGACGACTGAATGAATGAATGAATGAAACTATTAACACAATTTACCGATATCGTCCGATCTGATCTGACCTTCCAAATAAATACACTGATTTCACAATTTATTACACGCTGTCTGATCATTACAACCTGAGAAGAGTTCAATAATTTCTCATGAAATTTCATTTGTTACCTTACTCACTGACTTCTACGTAATTGGTTTTCCTTTTTAGTGAGCTTTTGTTTCCTATTTTTTTTTCTTTTTTTTTCTTTGTATTTTCGCTAGACTTTCATTAATGTTTAAAAAATAAGAATTAATAATAATTAATTTTTCTGTTTCGCATGCTACTGCATGCCTAGTAAAATTAACGTTTATTTGGAGCTTGTCGATAAAATACTTATTTTCTGTTCACGTGATTTTGTCAAACTATTTTAATGCTTTGCCAGCTTGCAGTTATGTATGTTTGTTTCGTAATACTAGTACTACTATTAGTGCTACTACTCCTACTGTTACTACTCCTCTAGCGAATTAATTTCTATATTATTCTCTCAATTAGTATTTTGATTTTAACTTTTCTTTTTTTTTTTGATTTATTTTCAAAAAAAAAAAAAAAAACTGTACATGATTTTTAATACTACTTTCAACAAAAAAAAAAAAAAAAAAAATATTAATAAAATTTTTGGTTTTCGTTTTTTGTTTGTTCTAGAAGGAGAGCTTTCGTTATTTAGTTTACTCTTTCTGCTTCTACTTTCATTCGTTAAAATTTTGAAGAAATTTACAACAATTTTTTTTTATCGAAAATAGAGTAAAAAAAAGTATTAATTTTGGTTCGTTTGTTTGTTTGTTAACAATTTTTCGTAAGATTTAAAACACTGTCTTACCTAGCACGCAGCACGCGGCAGCCTAGGCTAAAGCATATTGAGAAAACATTCGACACTTACTTATAATGAAGTTGGTATTTTACATGTACATATTATCGTCAGCTTATATTCACTCAAAAGTTAAAGGCTGCGTTAGCTGCAAAGCTAGATCCACACAAATACACACACACACACACACACACACACACACAACTATATAAAGCGAAATCAGATCAAAAATCTCAAAAACTCTTTGTATTTATTTTCTTAATACTGAAAATCAAATTCAAAATCAAATTCTATTCTTTAGTTTGATTATATCTCATGAGCGTGTCTTGCCTTTTTATATAAGAATGCCTGTTTTATATATACATTTAAAAAAAAAAATAAAAAAATTATACCATAAAAAAAATTGGCTTTGAAAATTTTCTTAAACAATTATTAATCGATTTAATGGTCCCCACCTATGAAAAGGATAAGAGTTGAATAAAAATTGATTCAATTAAAAAACAAAAAAAGAAAGAAAAATTAAAGCAATTTTTTTTTTTAATACACCTTTTATATACCATTTTTAAGATATTTTTAAAAATGTTGAATCAATTTTAGCTCCAACGTTACGAGAAAAAGGTAGGTTTCCTATTTAAGTAAAAATGATTTGTAAAAATTTCTTTTAGAAAAAAGAAACCAACACTAATTGGCTTTGAAACGACAGCTACAAACTAATGAAAATAATAATAATAATAATAATAATAATAATAATAATAATAAAAAACACAAAAAAAAAAAAAAAAACAACCACAATATCAATGAAAACTAACATACAGCTGAACACTGAAGTAAATTTTAATAAAGACTATGGAAAGTGTACTTTTTAATTAATTATTTTTCTTCTTAACTCTACATTTTTATATTTTTTTAATTGTTTGTTTTTTTTTTTATTTTTTTTGTTTTTTTTTTTTTTTTTCTTTCTTTTTATTGAATTTTGATTTTTGTAAAGTTTCTAGTAGAGTTTGAATGTAGAATCTGTTTAACCAGTTCACGTAGGTAAGGTTTAATTTTTTTGGTTTTCTATTTTAAACCAGAATTGAATTTTCCGGCTAAGCCTGATCCCGTAGTTTGAAGACACAACAGTTGTTTTTTTTTTTCTTCCAAGTCGTACATTAAAAAATATTTCTCGTAGTTTATATATTTGGTGATTAGTTACATCAAGTTTAAATTAAATTAAATTAATTTCATAATTATTTTGAATTTAATAACTAAGCCATTCAAGTACACAATGATATTATTATTATTTTTTTTTTTTTTCTTAAGCACATATTGAAAAAAAAATGCAACACGACGACATAAAACGATACGAATACAGAATGTATATATATATATATATATATATATATATATGTTTTATAAAATACATACAAAACTCTACCACTGTCCATATCACTACCACTACCGCTAATCTATACCACTACACCGTTTTCTCTATAGAATATTTAGCGACTTAGAGTTCTTAAAATATATTTTATTTTAATTTACGATTTTTTCTTTTTCTTTTCTTCTTCTCTATATCACAAAATAAAAAATATATATATAAACAATTTATGTTGTTTTTGGTACAAAACAATAATAATAATAATAATAATAATAATAATAAATACATTTGTTTGGTAATATCGTAAAAACAAAACACTTAGACTTCCTTATCCTTACCTGGTTCACCGTTTAATATACGCAGGGGATCACGTAGTTCTCATAAGGTAAGAACCAGTTTGCTGGAATATATCAGCAAAGACATCAATTGAGAACATATTAAAGATACATATAAAAACCGACCAGAAATTAATGGCACTCTCATCTACATGCATCAATTTTTTAATAAATAGCGCAAACACATTCATTAATTTCACTCGTTGAGGCGTTGTCTGTAGCCCAATATTTCAACAAAAAAAAAAAAAAAAAAAAAAAACAAAGAGAAATCATTATTGTCATCATCTATTCCCTTAAACAAAGTTTTCAATGCATATACCATAAGTTACTTTTTATAAATAGATCATATATATAAATGGAACACACACACACATATATATATATATGTATACATACGCACTTACGTATACGTACATAACACGATCATTTATCCATATAAAAGTAAATCTACATGTTGCAACTAAATATGTACATATGTGTGTTCAAATAACGTATACAAGTATATTCACTCGTATATAAAGTTATAATGATAATACATATGCAACTCATAAAAGAGCTAATTTGCGCGTTTTATAGATTTTTATTTAATTACCACTGATTGTAATTACTTTTATTTCCTTTATATCTGTGCATATAATTTTTATCTATCTATCTATCTATCTATCCATCTATCTATCTATCTATCTATCTATCGACTTATCTATCTATTCTTTGATCAATGTTTTCAAAAAAAGTTTCGCTCGTTTTCATATATACATATCAGCCAGCCCTTGTATGTATTTAAAAAATCTCCCTTCTCCAAGCAATAATAAATCAAATTCTTATGTGTTTGTCGTTGATTTATTTTTTTCTTTTTTATATATCAAGCGATCGTTTCCTGTCCGCTTAGATTTATTAAGTTAATAATTTTTTTTATTTTTTTTATATAGATTATATATATTCAATTTGTCATGTTTATGTAAAAGATATTTTTATTATTTTTTTTTTTTTTTGTTTTGCTATTAATTTTCTAATTTACTTTTTGTGTATAAATTATGTAAAAATGAAATTGTCTTATAAACATATCATCATCAATATTTTCATCACTACTACCACCAATACAATAACCACTAATACTACCTGAACAACCACCACCACCACCACCACCATCATCATCACCACCACCGCCACCAACCACCACTGCTACTACTACTACAACTACAACTACTACTGCTACTACTACTACTACTACTACTACTACTACTACTACTACTACTACT